GAAATTTGAAAAACATCTCTGGCTTGGGCAACCCAGCCAATTCCACCACGCAGTAAAGGATACCCGTTCTTTCGAGTTTGTCTTCCTTGGGAACTCTCCCTCGGCATAAAGGCACCATTTAGCATCCCAGTGGCTCTATGGAGTGAGCATAAAGTTGCTAACCACAAGGTCAGCAGTTCAAACCCACCAGCTGCTCAATGAGGGAAGGATGAGGTGGGATGCTCCTGTAAAGATTTAGCCTTGGGAACCCTAAGGCGCAGTTCTAGTCTGTCCTGTAGGTTCTGTCAGAAACAACCTGATGGCAGTATTGCATTTACTCTCCTTCATAATTCTTTTTCTCTTTAAAATTATTGTGGTTTCCCTCTCCCAACTGAACCTATATACAGACAAACATCATTTGATTGATGAATTTGAGAAAATGAGCACTAGTACTTTCTCTCCTCTTGGGAACAACTTGCTCACTGAGAGAGCGCCTGTGTTCTGCTCTCTTCTTCCTTGCCATACATTTCAGAGGCGGCTGTTCAGTGGCCTGTGCAAGGGTGGGCTTGACTGTATGATTCTGGGCTTGGTATGAGATGCCCACCCCACAAATACAGGCCTCACTTTTCTCCTTTTGATTTTGTCATGTAGCAAAGTCATATTCTTGTGCCATTTGAATGAGTTTAGAACTGTGGTGGGAAAGAGGTTAATGCAAATCACTCAATGAGTTGTTTTTTGCGGTTGCCTTTGACCTGCTGAATCTGAAATGGTTTTGTTACTTTCTATCCTTGAATGGAACAAGCCTAAAGTCACAATTATTCTATATTCAAATTTGATGCAAAAAATAAAATTCTGTAATAGGTGATCTCAAAAAACACACTAGGGAAGAGTCCTTCTAAACTGTAGAGCTTAAAGGAAGGTTTAGGTTCCCAACAGAAATTCAGACATGCTCCAAGAAAAAAGTGAAATGGATCCTGGGCAGTCAGAAGCAGGTACTCTTACAGGTGTCCCAGAGTCATTTCTCAGCCACTTAGTTAACTCTCCAGAAACTTAAGACTTAAGTAATCTAAAACTCCACTTATTTCCAGCATGTTACCTAACACAGTTTCAGAAAACAGGCATAAATTAAAGGGTATGTCATTTCACAGTGTTTTATTTCTGTAAGTTATTTTGTAATTGCTAAAAAAAAAAAAAAACGGGGGAAAAAGGCTACCTCACTATGAGTGTTAATACATATTTTATCTGACAGACTTTATGTTCAAGAAAATGTCCATCTTGAAAGGAAAATCCAGACTGACGACTGGCATATTCAAACGAGCTATTAGTGTGGTGTTTAAAAAAACACACCTGACTTTCTATAGTTCATCAGACCACAAATGCGCACACTGAAATGTAATCGCCTTTTCACAAGCCATGTGCCCATCACCACCTTTGATCAGTCGGCCCAGTGTCCTCTGGAGGTTAGCTCCAGCAAGGCTTTTTTTGTTCTTTGGCCTCTTTTTATTTTCAAGAGTTCGCACTTTTTAAGAGTTCTCTGGTCCAATCTTCCCCGTGTCCACCCTTTTACACCCACAGCACTTTTTCAAACCGAGTTCTTTCTCCTATCCTCTATGGCCTTCAATCCAGGAAAGAGCCTCTAGTGAAATGAATACTTGCCCTCCACCCGCCTTAGCTGCCTGCAATCTGTCTGCAGCCTCTAATTTGAGTCTGGTATGAGTTATCAGTGGCACTGATCTTCAACCTCCTTAAATATTTACATGGTTAATAATTGCCTCCCCGTCCTTTTGAGCTTCCTCTTTTTTTATCCATCTTTTTGACATATAATTCACACACCATATAAATCAATGGATCTGGCATATCAAAAGAGTTATATAATCATTACCAGTTTTAGAACAGTATTCATTCTTGCAGCCACTGTTTTTAGCATTCTTGTTGCCTCAACGTTCCCTGTTGTAGCCCCAAGAAACTTTATCTAGTTGCCTCTAAGTTTATGTATCCTGGATTCATATAAAGAAAATCATACAAGCAAAAAGCAAAAACCTAGCAGCAATAAAATAACACACAGAACAATCTCATTCCAAAGAAAGCAAAAAGCAATAAAAAGTAGGACGTTAAAAATAGGTCAAAAGGGAAAACAATGTTAAGATGTAAAATTGAAAGTAAACTATCTGCAGTGATCCACTTTCTAACTCACCGTGTCAGGGGACAAGATTGTTCACATCCCTGTTCAATGGCCAAAGGGAATTCAATCGAGGATTAATCAATGTAGAGACTCTGCAAATAAGATTTTGGGTATTTACTGTTGTCCACTGCCTTCTGCAAATCAGGTGTTCAGAATCTCAGTTCTGCTTTCCACGTGGATTTACCTGGCACTGCACTTAAATGACTGCTTAAGACCTCAGTTGTTTTGTTTTGTTTTTCCGGATAGCCAGACACCATCCTATTTCTAGCAACCATATCTTCAGGGATCACTTTATGAGGCTATGGATCAAGCGGGGCCTTATCTTAAGAATTGTTTAGGGTTTACAATTGAGAGCAGAACCTTCTCTTGTCTGATTGGCCTTCCTCTGTCACCCCTAGGATATAGTGATGTCTTTTAACTACTATCACTTCTAAAAATCAACTAAAATCCAAATGGGTTTTTTAGTAAACCTCATGACCTGGCTCCAATCTTTCAGCTCTATCTTCCATCTATTCCTTTCATTACATTAGGGAGCAACTTGCTATACAAGAAATGTCACCTATACTTTCCTCCACCCTTCAAGGTTCCTTGAAAGCCCAGCTCAAATGTTTTTCCTTCCATAAGGTTTTCTCTGGCTCTCTTAAGCCACAAATCACTGCTCCCAACTCCACACTACCACCAGCTCTTGCTGAGGCTTCTATAAATTTCCTAACTAGGACCAATACTTCTTGCCTTGTTTCTCCATTCAATCATAAGTAAGCTCTCTCACACAATCCAAACTCCTTTCCATAGACTACAAGGATCCTCAAGACCTGGCCGCTGCTAATGCTTATTGGTCCAAGCAATGTGCTAAGTACTTCTGTTGCTATAATCCTGAGATATCAGCTTTCTGGGTGGTTATAAAAATACATTATCCATTTGCCAACTCAGTATTTTTCAGATGTAATTTAGTACTTTCAACTCATAAATCATGTTATGCAATCACCACCTGTAAGTCTTGCCAAATTTTCCCAAGGCTTCCTAAATAACGTGAGTTAGGGGCGTTTACTAAAGTCGCCATTTGCAGCAGATGTTACACCTGTACCTACTCTGGGGTTGATGCACACATACTCTTTGGAGGACTGGTCTTGGCTGAGACACTGGCTCTCTGACTACTCCCAGTTCTCCCTACCTAGTCAATGGCTAAGTGACTTCGGAACTTAAGAACTTCACCACTTGCCTCTAGGCAGGCCCTCTGCAGTGCAATCCAGCCTGCAGAATGCCCTGTACAGCCAGATGGTGACTGCACTTCTCTCCTGACCCATCCTAGTTTTGTGTGTTTTCCACTCCACTACAGGTTTCTCTGAAGAGGACTCCCTCAATAAATCACTTGCCCAAGAACCCCTACCTCAGGCTTTGATTCAACAGAATGGATCTGAGACGCCATTTATTAATGAGGAAACTTGAGACAGAGAGGAAGTGATTCGCCTCAGATCAGAGAGCAAACAGGAAATTTGAAACCAGTTTGGCTTTCAAACCTGTTTTCACCACCACACTGTAGTGTCTAATGTCTACTTCTTCAGCCTCCCCAGGACAGTCCTTAATCATCCCCCTCTGGTGGCGCGATTGTGTGGCACTGAGGCGATTCTGCCTCACAGTGGCTTTATTGGACAAAGCAGAATTGCCTCTTAGGGTTTTCTTGGCTGTAATCTTTATGAGAGCCAATCACTAGACCTTTCTTCGAGAGCTCCGAACCACCAACCTGTCCGTTGGCAGCCGAGTGCTCAACCAATGCACTACCTGGGCTCCTCACCCCTCTTCCAGAAAAACTCATTTGGGCCACAGGTTCTTTGTACTTGCTATTTTCTCTGCTTAGACAGTTTCTCTCTAGCTTGTTTCCTTCTTTCAAAATGTGACAAACATTACCTCCTTTAAAAGGCCTTTCGGCACACCTTCCTCCAGCTCCTACCTTATCTAAAGAGCACCACGATCTCCACCTTTTACTTTTATATCTGAGGAGCCCTGGTAGTTAAGTGGAGTACGCACAGAGCTGCTAACCACAAAGTCAATGTTTAAACCCACTTGTTCTCTGGTGAAAGGTGAGCCTGTTTGCTCCTATGGTGGTGGTTTTATTCCCTTCAGTATCTGAAATTATATCCTACATATAATTTGTTGTCTGATAACCATCCAAACACCAAACTCACTGCCAGCAAGTGATTCTGACTCACAGTAACCCTGTAAGACAGAGTTGAATGTGCTACCTCTGTAGGTTCCCAAGACTTGTACAAATCTTTACGGGAGCAGTTGGCTTCATCTTTCTCCCTTGGAGCAACTGGTGGATTCGAACTACTGACCTCAGAACAAGCTCAGAGTGCAGCCCAGGGTACTACCAGGGCCCCTCTGACTCCCACACTAAAGTGTCCATCCCAGGAGGACACAAAAGCTGTCTGGGGAGACCTATCTTGAACACAGTAGGAGCTTAGGAACTGTTCATTCTTGAATGAGTTCTTGAAATGTGTTCTCTTCCCTCAGAAATCCTATAGGGCTCTGTGAAAATCTCCTTGCATGCTCTTCATCTACACTCTAAATGTTCTTAATTTTGGAGTACATAGTAGGTATTGGAATAATGAGGCTATCTCTAAAATTCCAAATAGCAACAGCAATTTGTTTTTCCATGTAGGGATCAACATCAGGGTTTCACACACATTATAATGGCCCAGAATATGAAAGAAAAAAACATAATTTACAAAGTGCTTCTACACGTGTTAAAGATTTTAGTAAAAACAATTAGTTACTTGTCATTTTTATTTCAAAAACAAAGTCATTTTCAAAATATAAAAAATAGACCTATTTTCAAAGAACCAATTAAATAGGGCTTTGAAAGCCACGCTGTTTTATTTACAACAGAGAGGGTAGTGCAACAGCATTTCTCATGTTTGTGATAAATAGAAAAGGACTTCGCTGATATCCCGGCAGGCCTTTCCATCATTTACAATGATGCATAAAAGCAGAGTCCGTAATGGCTATGAATGTAATGTCTATACAGACCTGGATTTAAACAACCAATGTAGATTCATCATGTACTTGGGATCTGGTCCCATATGTCCCAGAGTTAAAGAAGAGTACCATTCAAGTGGGATGCAGACTCGTTTTCTTAGTCTGTCAACAAACACATCCCAAAGGTCCCAGCGGTTGTATAAGGGATTCTGTTAGCATCTTCAGTAAGTGATTCGTAGGAGGATCCTACAAGTTCAGATTTCGTACGTTTAAAACACACTAAGTATCTCTGCCAAAACACTAAAACTGGATCCAGGGTTATCTTTTAAATTATAGAAAAACCTCTGAAAACGAAAACATTAGCAACGGAATGGCATCAGATGGCAGGTATTTTTCAAATTAAGACAACCCAGGCAAATGAGTTGAGAAAAACAAGAAAATTAGTCTAGTCTATTTAGTAAATATTACAAATCCATTTCTACTTGAATAAAACAGATGAATTTTTGCAAGTCTACACTGCTGGCCGCCAGTGTTCACGCTGTGCTGAGGGCAGATGTTTCAGGCAGAGGCTAGCCAGGTCCGCATGCATGCACACCGGGCAGAAAGCAGGAAACCCGTGAAGACACCGCAGTTCGGACTTCTTGTAGCGATTATGGACCACTTTCACTGTGAGCAGGCTGGGGGCAGGACTCTTCTGAGTTTTACATTTCAGACCCTAGGACGGAGGCTATCTGCCTGCAGCAGGTCCTTTGAAATGATTTCCTTTTAGCTTACTTTGTTTTTTCTCAGGTCAAGTAAAAAATGTAAGACGTGTTCATACACCACAAAGGTAATACAGCAGGCTGGAGTGACTCTAATCAAATTGGGGGCAATGCCTTTGTAAAATCCACCGATGCCTTCTTTCCTATAGAGAGAAAAACAGGCATATGTTCCATCACCTACATGGCTCACCTGAAAATACACACGTTTAACTGGCTCCATTTAACATGGAGCAAGCAGTCACAGATCATGAAAATTTAAGTCCAGGTTTTCAGATGCTAAACCATTTGGAGGGCTTAGATTGCTTTTATGAGGGCAAAAGGACACCTCAAAATAGAATTTAACAGTTCTTTAATGAAAACAATCTTTCAACTATCTTTAACCTCTGCAGGAATTTAACTCTGATTTAATGTAGACATAAAAATAACCTACCGTGTAAATACTAGGCAACATTGAATCCAGCACACACAAAACTGACCACCTGATTTTATTCATGCTTAGAATAAAGAATATGACTTAAGAACTCATCACTTAAGAGACTCAGTAAATATTTTCTGAATTGAACTAAATTTAAACACCTTAAATAGTCCACTCTGAACTTTTTACAGGAAAAGGGAATCATGGGGATGTTTGCATACAACAGTCTAGCTATTCCCATGTTAGGTGGGGAAGAGCAGTATCTCTCCCATCCATGGAAACAACTATTTGCCATTGTTATGCTGCCAGGAGCAGGTGTGGGCTCTTGTAAAATTATTAACCTGGTGTCTTTTTGTTTGTTGTTTCTTTCTAAGTGACTTCCTATACTCAATGTCATAAGCCTTTGGGAGATGAGTCCAAGGTCACAGATAAGACAAATGGGAATGCAGGCAACACCAGCCAACATTTTATCACAGCACTCTTACCTTTGCTGTAAAACAAGTATCGATTTACCAGTCTGCAACATGCAAAGTCTCACATCCCGAGACCAGTTTTGGGGAACCTCATTCCTCTTACCTCCATGTCTTTGTGATCACATCCAGCACACCTTTGTAAAAAATGTGTTGATCCTGAAGACGAGCTCTCACAACTTGATATGGGTATGTTGCTGCTACCGCAAATATCTTGGACAGTGCTGCGACAGATATATACTCTGGTGTGCTCTAAAACGACAAAACACATCGCTGTCTCTCTTGAGAAAAGTACGAGGGGAGCCCAAGATAATGGAGTCTATCCACTAACTTCTTGAAGCCCTGCTCCTGTAGAAATAAAAATCATACCGGAAGAAACCCTTTAGATGGGAGAGTTTCCCTCCCCTTAACAGTTATAGGATGCTATTTTTTTTAACATTTATGTATTATTAGACTATAAAGATCAAATTAGTGGAAGATTCAGTATTTAAAACCATAACAATATCACCCAAGCACGCATGACCCAATGCCCACCTATATATAAAAGCCCATAAAAGTAAATTTTATCATTTTTTCCAATAATCATCTTACCAACGGGGCTTCTGGTAATCTATTGATATGTTGGTTGTATTTCAACTTCAGCAATTCATATGTCATGAACTGAAGAGCACCATGTGACGTCCCAAAGAGCCCAGGAACAAATCCCTAAAGGGAGCCATTTAAAAAAGGAACTAAGTTATCAGTGTACTTTCAAAGGAATGGTTCCTCTTCCTTCTAGGGGTCGTTACTTTAAGCAAATCCATTAATTGTTACAGTTCTGGATATATCACATCTTCATATGAAAAAATTTAAAATGTATTCTTTCCTACTTTTTAAATTTTAAGGCTTAAAATTTCAAATCGTAGGCTTTAAAAAAATTAATAGACATCAAGTGAAGAGACCTACATTATCAGGCAAGAAAAATGGAAATTTCTAAATTTCTGCAGCAGTTCTGGAAAGGAGATACTTGGTACTTTTAGATCCATAAACACTGAGCAACTTAATAACTTTTCCAGTTCTTCCTTCCGTGGTTCTATCACTTACAAGGCCAGGAAGTTGGATGAGATCTGCTAGGAAAACCACCTACTATAGAACTGGGGCGTGAGTGAGAGATTAACTTTGGGAAAGTTAACAAAGTAAAGAAAATGCTAACTCAAGGGAATGATTACCAGTATTTTAAAAGAACGTGGACAAAATAATTATTTATAAATTATCAAGGGTTATTTAAGGAGGGGGAGCGAGGAGGGAAAATGAGGAGCTGATGCCAGGGGCTTACGTGGAGAGCAAATGTTTTGAGAATGATGAGGATTACGAATGTACAAATGTGTTTTATACAATTGATGTATGTATGCATGTGATAAGAGTTGTATGAGCCCCCAATAAAATTATTTTAAAAAATTAAAAAGACATGGCAACCAGCAAATGATATAGTTCCAAAGGTTTTTGCTCCTGCGTCAGTTAAGTGCTAACACGAATCTTATGATCTGTAGAACGTATAATGTATAATGTGTCCGATTTTTATATTTTAAACTGGTGAGACTGCCGAGCGACAGGCACACACAGGACTGCTAACACAAGAGCAGCGGTCCAACGCTGCAGCCTCTCTAAGCGAGACAGATTAGGCTGGAAGCTCCCATGAAGCTATATTAAGCACGGAGAACCTATGTAGGGGTGCTCTGAGTAGGAAACGACTTGGTGATAGTGGATTTTTTGGTAGGGAGTGTCTAATAAAATGTTCTGAGGGTAAACAGCAGGTAACGCTAGGAACTAGCCAAGAGGCAAACAAGAAAAAAAGAGCTATAAAACTGGAAAACAGATTTATAGCCAGATTAGGAATATATCTCTAAAAACCAATAAGGGGCTATTTTGGTTGTTTTTTAATTCATGTAAGATCTAGTCAAAGATATTCCCTTGGAACAGATTGGAATTGTACATTTGGTCAGTGAAATCAACTAAGATCTGTTCACAGGCCCACTGACCTCATCTCCTCATTATATTATCCCAAATTCCCAAGGGATCACTGCTGTCGGGAAGAGAATGGAGATGGAATGCCTTGGTTGTATGACCTACTGAAAACACACCAGTTTTGTACAGTTCTTCCCATACCTGTCATTATCATGCTACCGATCTTACAGCTTAAAGTACCACTGTAATACTATTGATTCCTATTTTATTAAATTATTTAACAATACCTTATACAGTCCTCGCACACCTTCATACTTATGAATTTTCATGAGTGTATCAAACAGTCCTTTGTACCGTCGATGTGGAGGGTTGACCTCACTCTCATACTGCAACATCAGGCGGGTTTTTGCTACCCATAATGGGTTTGTAAGGCAGAGGGTCATGGCTCCTAAAATCGGATACAATAAGGTTACTCAATATACTGGTACCTTCTAATTTCTGATCATCCAAATAAGAGCAGCATATTTATGTAAAGAATGGGGGTGCCCAGGGACGGTCTTAGATTTGTGTTTGTTATGTTGAGTCCGTTCTGACTCGTGTATGCAGAGCAGAACTCTTCCACAGCGTTTTCACAGCTCTGACCTTTTGGATGCACGGCCAGGCCTGTCTCCCGAAGTGCCTCTGGATAGATATGAACTACCAACCTTTGGTTGGTAGTGAGTGCTTTACCATTTGTGCCACTTAGCCTCAGAGCAGAATAGACAGAATTCTTGGTGGTCTTACCAAGTTCCTCTTCTGATTAGCAAGAGGTGAATTAAAGGAGGTAGAATGTGAAGTACTTTCCCTTTGAAGATTGTCGGTCCTAAACAATGCTATCTGGTGTAGAGAGCTGATGGAAATTTGAGAAATAGCTTATGATAAGACTTGGGAGTTGGATATGATCTAACAAGAGGGACTGAAGATTAAGAGACCAGGCATTCAGCCATTTGCACACACACAAGATAATTATAAAAATCGTCAAATCCATTCTAAGAAACTATCATTCTTAAATTTGAAGTAGCTATGATATAATAAATGCAATGTTACAATTTTGATAGGAAGATATTTTTTAACTAGGTCAGTTCCTTTTTGCTTTTTCTGAAGTAGTCACTCACCCAACCGGTGTTCATTAAGCCCTGCCGTGTGCAGAAGTGAGCAGGGCAGCTCTCGTCCCGCAGGACTCGGCATAGTGAAGGTTACAAAGCAAAAGGAAGTCGGGTATCCAAGCAGGAGTTACACACACTCGGCTCTTCCTTTTCCCTCTAGATATCAGCCGTGCATGAAGCTACTACACTGGACAATTTTAAAACCCAAATTTTACTTTCAACACTCTATCAAACCACTATTAATGGATCCATAACTTTGCTAAGTCTTCCACTTTTTATGGTAGATCTATCCAGAGGAATCAGCAAGGAGCAAAATAAGGGTGTCTGTTCTTATCAAGATTTACAACCAAGGAAACCCTTCAGGCAGGTCTACTCTGTCCTATTAGGTCTTCATCAATTGGAATCAACTCCGTGGCAGTATACTTGGCTTTGGGTTTTATCCAAGGGGGAGACCTGCTTTCTAAGTAATCATGTGGCCCCTGAGTCATATAGTGAGTAGAGCACAGTCAAACTCTGGTGTTCAAAAAGGGAAAAATCAAATCAAAGAAGATTCAAGGTGGAAATGAACATTCTGCATGTCACATTTTGCCTTACCAGCTTCAGCAGCCGAGATAAGGTATTCTGTCGCCTCTAACTGTTCAGTTCTTCCATCTGTCTTATATGATTTGATGGCATTATAACTAAAAATTGAAACACAGTTTGATAAAATGTTTGAATAGGCATTATACAACACTAAAGTCTGTTTGAAAGAGTGTTACCAAAGCACCCCAGAATTAATATATATTAAGACAAAATGAGACCTCTTCCAAGAATGGACATGTTGACAGTGGTTCACTGTAACATGAGTATTAAGCTTGCAAAAGTAACTAGTTAAATATTTCACCTTCCTAAATGCACTTCATCAAAGGAACTTCTGTAAGAAGTTATGCTGCCACCACATCCACTTCCTTCCAGAACAAATGCCTCTGCCAACAGCTAACAGAGAATGAAACTAATAAACGATCTTGCTCTTTCTGACCCTTCTAATTCAGAGAAATTAATTACCTGAGTTATCTTGTATTATCAACTGGCATGTAAAACTCACTAGAAAGAGAATTAAGAATTTTTATTTGGCATTGTTAAAATCTCCCAGATCTACTCACAAAAAAAAGTAGAGTCCCCAGGATAAACCTGCACCCCACACGTTCGGAGTTACTCCTTGGTAAAGTCCTCGCACTCCATTAAGCTTCCAAATAGTAGTCAGACAATGCAAAATTCCTTTATACTTCGGTCTTAGTTCCAATCCATCATTCACTGCATGACAGAACACACAGATGAGAACAAGTTCAAGTTCTAACTCACATGTACATATAGGCATCACATCACTGGCTACATAAAAATGATAAACCCACAGAAAAATCTTTTAGGTGAAGAAAAATATTTTCTAGGATTACTTAGTATTTTAAGCAGTACATTTATGTATTTTGTTTTTGTCCCCCCCCCCCGCCCCTCCCCCCAAGACTTGACCAAACATACTGAGGCCGACTTTCCAGGTCAGACTGGAACCCTAGCCAGATTTGAGGGTGGCCCCAGTAGAGCTGCGGGTGACCCATCTTGCCTCCAAGACCTCTCCGAGGCAAAAAGAAAGAGCTCATGTATTTTAAACAAATATGTGTTGAGGGTATACAGCCCAAGCTGTATTCTTACGCCAGGATACGGCTTTACTCCTTTGTGGGTTTTCCTGTAACCTTACACCTTTATAAATATTCCTTTCATATGAACGATCCTCAGGTTCCATAAACTTCACTGACTCACAAGGCCACCTCTGTCTCCTGTGAAGTAGCTGGTGGGTTCAAACTACGGACCTTTTGGCTAGCAGCCAAGTGCTTGAGCACCGCACCACTTGGGGTCCTTTCTCATAACCCATAATGATTCTCTTATAGTGACATGAAATTTATAGTCTAGGTTATTTTACCCTATAGAATTCTCACATACACCTTTTCCCTAGAGAATAGATTGTGAGCATTCACCTCACGAGTTAAGACTTTTCTTTCTCATTTCTTTGTTGCTATAGAATGTCTCTCAAGGTATACTCTATATAACAGAGATTTGAGTGAATTCTTATTTCCTTGAATTAGCTGTTAAAATGGGGTATAACTTTAAGGTCATAATAAGCCAGTGGTTCTCAACCTTCCTAATGCCGCCACCCTTTAATACAGTTCCTCATGTTGTGGTGCCCGCCAACCATAAAATTATTTTCGTTGCTACTTCAAAACTGTCATTTTGCTGTTATGAATCAGGCGACCCCTGTGAAAGGGTCGTTCAACCCCCAAAAGGATCACGACCCACAGGTTGAGAACCGCTAACATAAGCACATGCTGAAATTGACATACAGAAAGTTTACACAAATTACAATTCCATTGGCTGGGTGCAATCATACCCATTCACTGCCCTGACTTTCACCGCTAATGTTTACGGTATAGGACAGAGCCTGGCAGGGAAGCGTACTATTTATCATTGGCAGGCAAAGGTGGAAAAGTCCAATTCTTTCGTCACTAACCTGGCCATGTCACAGCATCAAATGAGATTAAAGTACACTAGGCTTTGTCAGAAGAACTGGGCTTGATCTCTAACTTCCCTGATTAGCTTTGGCATCCTCATTTGCAAAATGGAGATATCACCTTTCTCACAGGATTATTGTCAGGTTTATACAAGACAGGTGTAAAAGCAGGCAGGTATACAATCTTTTACGTTGTTTATCAAAAGACATTAACTTTCACATGCAGAATATTCAAGTTTTTAGTTATTTTCAAGAACGAATCATTCATGTCTCTCTCATCATTGTACATTTAAAATTAAATCTTCAAGTCTGAAAGGATTTCAATCATCATCTAATCTAAACTTCCCGCTGAATATAAGGATTTTCTAACCTGTCATTGAGCCTCTCCACAAACCACTTCCTGTCATTACAAGCCCACTGTTTGACTTCTGCACCCCACTACTCTGCCAGGCCCAGAGCAGCTTCCCTATAATTTCTACCCAACCACAACTGCTCTCTGGATCCATTCATAATGAGGCCGCTCCTTTTCCACTTAGCAGTTCTCTGAGTAGCTTAATAAGAGATTTTGTTTTTTCCCTTCAGATTCCAGTCATTTTCTCCTGTGAAATGTTCTCTGATCTTTCTAACACCCTGGGCATCTTCTTCTGAGGGAGTTCCTTTCAGGAGCAACAACCAGACAGCGCCAGAAATTATAATCTTATGGGGCATTTCATATCGATGCTGATTAAAAATCAACTGTTTTGATCTCATAAGGTCACTATAAGAGCCAGCAAGGCCCTCAACGAGATGGATACAGTGGCTGCAATGGCTAAGGCACAGGAACCATTGTGAGGGAAGCGCAGGCCGACAGTATTCCGTTCTGTGGTGCATAAGGTGACTATGAGTCAGCACTGACTGGATGGTATCTGACAACAGGGACACTATGACTCAGCACGGACTCAATGACAGCAAGGTTTGTCTGGGTTTTTTTATTTTGATTTCAGTTATTAATCTTCTGAAATCTCCCTTTTTTCTTCAGCCATTTATAGCCACAGTGTGAGCTTTAAGAATGTAATACAAAGCTCTGCTTTGACAAGATCATTAAGTCCTCAGATCTTACCTCAGTCTCTTACCGGTCACCTCAGCTTTAATGGTTGCCTAATTTGCTCCTGATTTCATCAAGAATACCACTCTTCTCAGGTCCCAAGGGTGCCCTTCCTTCTGGCATGGCCATCTTCTTAGCACTGACTGCCTTAAACTCATAAGGCAACCATCCTTCACTCGGTGATATATCAACTGCTACCTGCTCCGCCTTGGTAACAGAACACTGCTGAAGAGACACCTCCTCATAGAGTAGCAGTTCTCAACCTGTGGGTCACGACCCCTCTGAGGGGGTATCAAACAACCTTTTCACAGGTGTCGCCTGATTCTTAAGAGTAGTGAAATAACAATTATGAAGTAGCAACAAAAATAATTTTATGGTTGGGCGGTCACAACATGAGGAACTGCATAAAAGGGAGGCGGCATTAGGAAGGTTGAGGACCACCGTCATAGAGGGTTACGGCTACAGTAGAGTCTAAAATTGTTTTCTTCATGTTCAGAGGTGTATCAGGGATCCCTTGAGGTAGTATGGTGTGTTCTGGGGTTAGACTACCTGGGCTGAAATCCCAGATCCATCTTTTACACAGTTGTGACTTAGGCAACTTGCCAACTTTGAAAAAATGCACAGGCTTGTTGAGAGTAAAAACAAAATCATCAAGTAGATTTCAACTTATAATGACCCTAGATGACAGAGGAGAGCTGCTCCTATGGGTTTCTGATAGGCCTTTGTGGATTTTTCTCCTAAGGAGATCATTCCAACTTCCACTGAGTTTCTGTCATCGGAAGTTTCTTGCCTCCTTTTCTCCAGATATCCGGTTTAATCTCTGGAAAACTTATCAAACAAATGTGGGCATCAGCAATCTATAATTCTGATGGTCCATTCTTCGATTATTTTGGTATTTGAGTTTATTCCACTCTGCCTTGGACTTTGTTACCTAGTATTAACATTTTTACAAAACCCACTGGCAATCCTATAATTAGACTGTAAGCTCCTTGAGGGCAAGTATCTATGTCCCATCCAGTACTCTACATATAATAAGAATATAATATGTATCTGTTGAGTTGATTGGAATAAAGCACTTTTGCAGAACTAATTCTCAATGAGGGCAGAACTTAATTTGTAGTGATAATACCAGAAAAGTGTCCTGATAAAAGTTATACGGATCATCTATGAAAGGATCTTTTCCAGATTTTGTGTTGACTGTAACCTGGAAAAGGTTCTGTTCATTTCAGTGTACTTAATTGGATTAACTCAATACACTTAGCACAATAAAGTTACACGCAACTGCTGGTTCCTAGGTACCTTTTTGATCGCAGCACCTTGCACCCGATAAACGCTAAAAACTCAAATCACCTTGGAGAGAATTCACTCCTACACCTCCTCCCTTCCAACTACCTGCGGGGTGAGGATTACCCTCTCCTCCCCGTGGCCGCATCTCCCTTTCAGCAGAGCTGCCAAACACGTGGTCACCTTACGATGCTTCGATTTCAAAGTACCTCCAGGCTCTGTGCGGCGGTGGCTAAGCCGTTCAATGTGAGAATCCCTTCATTATTCTAAACCCGGCTTTGAGCCTCACGTTCGACACCCATGAGGATCCTTCTCTACCCACACGTCCACGGGGATGGAATCAACAGCAGCCAGACACCTTCACCGAGTTCCCCTCACTCAGACCTAGTAGCTGAGCATCCTGTCCACAGTACCGACGAGGCAGGGGAGCCAAGGCTCCTTTAGCACCCAGTCCAGGTTCTCACAACTCGCCAGCCCTTCCTCCCCGCCCGCCCGCCGTTCAGAGGGGGCGAGGAGACGCGGGCCGGATGAGGGATCCAGAAAAGGGGGTGTCAGCGAGGGGGCCGGCGCCCGGGGTCTAAGACGGTCCTTACCGGCGAAGCGTATTTTCACGAGGTCCAGCGGGTGCAGCGCGAGGTTGGACAGCACTCCACCGCTCACGCCCGCCACCAAGTTCTCGTATCGGACATGGCGGAAAACCGAGCTCCAAGCCGACGAGCCGGACGCTGGCTGGCCCTGGCTGGTCATAGGCTCCGGACACGCCGGCACCACGGCGCTCAGGGCCGCGGCGGTGGGACGAGATGCAGTGGCCGCCACCGTGGCGACGGAAGCCGCTGGGAGCAGCCACTGAGCGGCGCGAACCCACTTCCGTGGCTGGCACGTGGAGTCCGGTGCGAGGACGCGGGAGCGAAGCCGGGAGACACAGGCGCGAAGGAGACTTGAAGGGGCACCGGAGGCGAAGGCAAGGGAGGCGGGGCCCCAGGCTCCGCCCTGCCTCCCGGCGGCCACAGCGGCAGACCAGGGGTAAAGGCTGCGGGTGCGAGCAAACAGCTGGAGCCCCGCCCCTGGTAACCTTCGCCGGCGAAACTACTGAGCGCCACAGGACTCCGCGGTCAACTTCCGGTTCCGGGGTCACGTGACAGGAAGTAGACTGGGGCAGCGGAAAGCGCGTGTGCGGGAGGAGGCGGTACTTCCGGGAACGGCATCTGAGAGGCTCGTGGAGTGTGGGGAGAAGTCGCCGAGATGAAGGTGAAGATGCTGAGCCGGAATCCGGACAACTACGTCCGCGAGACTAAGTTGGACATACAGAGAGGTGAGACAAGTTGGTCCAGAGGAAAAGGCGCCATTTTCCGCGAGTGCCTGGGGTTTTGTCTCTGCTTTCTGAAGAGTAAGCTGGGAGGAAGCGCTTCCTCCTCTGTTTACTTGTTAGCGTTCACTAACCGCGCAGGGAAAGCGAGTGCGGGACTGCGGCTACCAGATGAGGTCCCTTTGTGCCTTTGGTAGAAGTGAGAAATAGTTAAACCTACGGGGAATTTTTCTGCCAGCTTGTCGCGGGTTCCTGTTACTGTGGATTGAAGGACTTGAGAGTTCAACTTAAGACTTGTGATTACTCCTTTACGTTACTCTGGCCTGTGGAAAGAGACCAAGCAGAACTCTAAAGCCATCAGTTTTCTCTTAGCAACAACTCTTGTAAAGAAGTTTAATGGGGGAGAATATGGTTACAAACATTTTGTTTCCTGGTACTGACATGTTTCCCATTAACATGTCCATGTGGCTTAAAAGACAAGGAACAAACCGTGCGAACAAAATTTGCCGGGGAATGAGGGCCAAAAGGATAATGGGGGAATGAAAGGGCCAGAAGGGCGGCCAGTGTGCTCCCCTGTGAATCGGGAACCAGTGGTAGACAGTGAGCTGGAGCACTGCGTCACGTTTTGATTGAGTAGTAGAGATTGACAACATGTGTGAGTAGTGTTCTTTAAATATGGTTTCTGCTCACAAAATATTTACAGACTAAGTAACAAGACTGTAAAGACAATTTAGATTATGTCCCTTTCCCACCGAGGGCCTGGCGAACTACTAGACCCTCTGCGAACTACTAGACCCTCCTTGGATCTCACCTGTCAACTGCTTTCCCACAAGTAGCTTACTTTTGGACTTCCTGGGTAGTGCAAGTAATTAAGCTGGGATACTAACCAACAGGTGGGAAGTTCAAACCCACCCAGAGGTACCTTGGAAGACAGGCCTGGCAATCTGACCACAGCCTTGGAAACTCTATGGAGTGCAGCCCTGTTCTCCTGTACACAGTCACCACCCGTTGGAGTCTTCGGGATGGCAGCTGACTGCAGATTTTTTTGACTTGTTTGTCTGAATACATTTCAGCCATTCCCTTTCAGTCTTCCTATAGCACACCCTTCTATACTTCAGCTCCTTGCTGCATCCAGACACCCTGCTTCTGCCTGTTTATCATATATACCTATTTATCGTGTTGACTAATTTGATTATCTGTCTCTCCCACCAGACTGGCCATGCAGTGAAGAGTCTTGCTTATTTCCACATCGGTTCTATTTAAATAGCATTTGGCACATACTATGTTTTTTCACAAATAATATGCCCGGTAAATAATGCACAGGAAAGGATGCATGTGTGGTTTGGCACAAAAAAAAAAAAAAGTGACAGAAGTGTTATTTGCGTGAACATCTGGTAGGTGTTTTATAAAAGTTTGGTTGAGGATTGAATGAATAAAAGTGATAGACTGAAGAGCTGAGGTAGGTTGAGCCCAGATTCTGCAAGGCCAGAAGGAGCTGGAAATTCGTTCTGTAGATCAGAGTCTCTAAAATGGGTATTGCAGGCTGTCCACTGGAGTGTGTGTGTGAGGGGAATGGCAATTAGTACATACTTCAGTTTACATTAGGGGACTTCAGGAAGTTTGTAGAAGAATTGGGACATTGGGATTTTCCCACAAACTTTTAGACTCTCCCTCATTCTTTTATCTTAAAATGTTTTCACATCATCAATTGGCACAGACTTCCTCACTGGAGCCTTATAGTAAATGATGTCAGAAGCAAGCTGATCCAACTCGTGGCAGCCCCTTGTGTGCGGAGCACCACTGCCTGCTGGGATTTTCAAGGCTGTGACCTTTGGGAAGCAGATCGCCGGGCCTGTTTTCTGAGGCGACTCAGTTAAATTGTAGTTGCTGTGGCTGCTGTCAGGTGCCATTGAGTCACCTATAGGGATCCTGTGCGCCACAGAAGGAAATACTACACGGTCCTGCGCCAGCCTCACAACGGCTCCTGAGCTAAACAGTTAACCGTTCTATCTGGTTCTTCTGGATCACAAGGAAAGGATGACAAGGTTCTGAATTCTGCAGCATTTTACATTTATTTAAGGGCTTAATATTAAAATAATGGAATCTTACTAGTCATTTATAGATTTATGTATAATTATAATAGAAAGGACCGTGAAAATCACGTTTCATTCAGAAGTTCCTCGGTTTTACCATAGTAAAATTCTTAGAAGAGTTGGCAAATGTTATGAATATTAAGTAGAGTTTTGGAGGTTTTTTACTAGAACAAACATAATCTACTCTTTCAAAGTCCATTTGCTTTCAAGAGAACTTGTGTGATGAGATCATTTTGAAAATATAGGGTCTAGTTTGCTGATGTTAACCAAATGGGAGTAGAAAGCCTCATCTTTCTCCCAAGGAGCAGCTGGTGGTTTCAAACTAGTTTATTTGATGTGGGAAAAGAGAGTAGGATGAATTACAAGTATCGCAGAAAATGGTAGGACTTTGCGAGTTTTGACAGGTTTAAGTTTTTCACTAAAACTAAATTTGTTTTAGTTTCTTGTTTTGAAAAAATAATTCTTAGGATTATTAAAATACTATTTATGACTCTTGCCTTCAGAGTAGATAGGTGTTTCTAGACAAAGTAGAGAGATAATCTTTGCAATACTGACATGGGATTAAATAATAAGTATAGTGAATACCATAAATGCAGCCACCTCAGCAAGTTTTCTCCTCGAATCTGCTTGTCTTTGGGAAGTATAGGTAGCCCTCATTTAACACGGGGCCGTATTAGCTGAACTGATTCCACGCCGTGACAGGTTCATGGTGGCTGATGTTGCATCTGTTACCCTGGAACCATGTAAAGTGAGGAATGGGTTGCAGTATGCATCCCATCCCATCACTGGTATTGTACAAATCTGAGATCTGGTTATATCTTTTCCAATTTAAAAAACAAACCCATTGCCAGTGAGTGAATTCTGGCTCATGGCCATCCTATAGTATTGTGTAGAACTGCCCCTTTGGGTTTCTAAGGCTATAGATCTTTACAGAAGCAGAAAGCCTCATCTTTCTCCTGTGGAGTGCTTGGTGGGTTCGAACTTCTGACTTCATGGTTATCATGTATAACTAACTATGCCACCAGGACTTTTTCTTGAAAATCATTAAAAGCAAACATTGAAATAATTGAAATTTAAAATTTTTAATTGCCTTACCAGGATTAAGTGGGGACTTTAAAAAAGCACACTTTTTTTTTTAAAAAGCACACTTTTTTTTTAAAAAAGCACACTTTTAATCACAGTTCTCCTTAATTCATTGCACAAGAAGGCTTTAAAAGATTCATGCAAAATGGAATTTAGACATAATGAGATTTTTCAGTGAATGTTTTGAAGCCACCTCATACATATGTCGAGGGGAAGAGACCAGCTCAAAAATTCTTGTTACTAATGGGCACAAAACCAAAAGAGAAGAATACTACTACCAAGAATAATCTCAAGTTTTAAAACTATGTAAAAAGCAGTCTTTCAATTTGATTCATCTGACAATGGTATACCTGTCACCACATAGGGTAGGGATGGAATCACAATAAGTCAAAGGTAAACTAAAACTACTAAGTTACTAACTTAAAACTCAGTACCATCCAGTCAATTGTGACTCATAGTGACCTTATAGTTCACAGCAGAATCGCCCCTCTGGGTTTCTCAGGCTGACTCTTCATGGGCATAGAAAGCCTCATCTTTCTCCCAGGGAGCGGCTGGTGGTTTCAAACTAATTTATTAGATGTGGGAAAAGAGAGAGTAGAGTGAATTACAAGTATCTCAGAAAATGGTAGGACCTTGTGAGTTTTGAAAGTGGGTGATGTGGAAGATGAAATATATCAGAATGACCAAAATTTGAGCTTGACTGACTGAAATGTTAGGAAGTCTGAACAAAAAGCCATCAGGGACCAGGGTATAGGCATGGGGTAAGAGGATGCATTTGCTTTTAAACATTGAGGACATTTTTTTTAGGCTTGTGGGCTTAGACTCATCTCCTAAGCAAAATTATTAACTGGCTTGGGAGCAAGAACATGGATTCTGTTTGAACTTAAAGCCAGACCCACCACTTATTTGGCCTCTCCATGCCTCAGTTTCCTTATCTAAAATTTATTCTTAGAGCACTTTGGGAATTAATTGAGTTCATGGAAGTTGTTTACAACGGTGCCTGGCACATGGTAAACTATATTTTTTAAAGTAGCCAATGAACAAGTAAAGTGCTCAACAACATGGCAGCTATATAGTATAGGTAATAAAATCATCACACTGTGCTTAGCAGTCTAGTGCGGAGCACCAATGATTGATGGTGATTTCTACACCAGGAACGTTGAGTTTAGTTAAGCCAGCATTTATCATACACTTGCTTTGTGTCAGCATAGTGGTTACATTTTGAGCTATGATCCACAAGGTATGAAGTTTGAAACCTCCAGGCGCTCCTTGGGAGAAAGACGGGGCTTTCTACTCCCGTAAAGAGTTACCGTCTCTGAAACTCAAACAGCAGTTCTACTCTGTCTACAGGTTCACCATGAGTTGGCATCGACTCATATAGTGAGTTTGATTTTGTCCTAGACACAGTACAGATTACTGGCTACTGGTGTAATTAGGACATACAAAAGGAGAAGCAATCTATACTGTGGGTCTAATTACTTCACAAAACATGTATCCCATGAATTTTTAGTAATGTTTGGAAAATGTGTCTGGGTGATTGATCTTTTACGTTCGTATTCTTTATAGCATTAGGCATAGAACTGGTTCTCAAAGGCTGATGCAGAATAAATTGATTAGGCAATACCATAAGAAATAGGAAAGATGTGTTATTCTTCTTTCAGTTCCAAGAAACTATGATCCTGCCTTACATCCTTTTGAGGTTCCTCGAGAATACGTAAGAGCTCTAAATGCTACCAAACTGGAACGGGTGTTTGCAAAACCATTCCTTGCTTCCCTGGATGGTCACCGAGATGGAGTCAATTGCTTGGCGAAGCATCCAAAGAGCCTGGCTACTGTCCTTTCTGGGGCATGTGATGGAGAGGCAAGTGTCACTTTACACACTGATCTCTTTTTTTTTTCTTAGTCATTTTATTGGGGGCTCTTACAACTCTCGTTACAAACCATACATCGGTTGTATCCAACATATTCCATCGTTCTTTTCTAGACATTCACTTTCCCTTGAGCCCTTGGGATCAGTTCCTCTTTTTTTTCTTTCCTCCTCCTTGCCCCCCCAAATCTCACACCGACCACTGTCTCCCTCCCCCTCTGGTTTCTGTTGTTCTTCCCCCTGCCTGGGGGTGTGTGGTTATGTACCATTCTTTGCGATTAGTGCCCCCCTCCCTCCCCATCTACCCCTACCTTCCCCCTACCCTTTTGGTATCTATTCCTGTTCCTGGGTTCCATGTGTTGTGAGTTTTATCTCTTGTCTATACCTATGTACATGCTCCTGTCCAATCTAGATTGGAAGGCGGCACTGAGGTCGTGATAGCGGAGGGTGAGGAGGCCTCCAGGGAACAGAGGTAGAGTGCGTGGCCCATTAGTGCTCTATGCACCCTGATTGACTCACTCCTCCCTGTGACCCCTCTGGTGGGGGATGTTCACACTGATCTCTTAAAAGTAAAATTTGTTATATTGCATTTGTATCTCCTTTGGTTTTGGATTTTTAGTTTAGGGTTTGCTTTGATTTCAGTCTTTTCTATATTTTGCTAACTTTTAATCTTCAAGACAAAATTCTGTTTGAAATAGTAACTTCAGGAGTTTCTTCACTCATTCCGGGAAACTAAAAATGCAAGACTTGAGGCTCAATTTTGACCGCATGTAAAGTAAGAAACTGTGCTTGCAATGAAAGGTATTTGTGTGAGCTTTGTCTCACAGAGGGTGCTATTAATGATGCAGCAGGATTGTTTCCCACTCTGTTGAGTTGAAAAAAGTGCTTCAAACTAGACGACAAAGTGACAGACTGGATTTTCTGCTTGTTGATATACTTATCCATATGCATTACTTGATTATTTCCAACACTGATTGTTTTCAGCTGCCTAGTAGAGTGATTCATAGCCTGCTTAGTGTTGAATATCTTTTTCTTAGAATGTAGTACTACTTTGCCTAAACAGTTTCTATGTATAATTCCCAGAACTGTCCCGCCATGCTTTGTTATTTATAGGTTAGACTCTGGAACCTGACGACACGAAAATGTATCCGCACAATCCAAGCACATGAAGGCTTTGTACGAGGAATATGCACTCGCTTTTGTGGGTCTTCCTTTTTTACTGTAAGTATAACACTATTCAGTCATTAAAACTTTGCAAGCCACATAAGACTGATCTAATTGAATAGCTTATCATCTGAGTTCATTTCTTCTCCAGCCCTTTGGAGCTGTCCAGTACAAAGTAACCTGGCCTTGAAGAGTCCACACCCGTGGATAATCTCACCCTGTACCTAGTAACTTCTGAGTCACTGAACCAGCTGCACTAATCTCCGGACAGTATGAGGAGGTCAGACTAGAATGATCGTTTGGCCAAGTTTTCAGTGCTAGGATGAGAAATAGATACTTTGGTGGAAAGTTGAAAATCTTTGAAGGCTTGCTGGCGTGTGAGTGACCATCTCAGCTGTACTTTGCAGTGTTGACTGGCAGTGGAGAATAATCTGTTGGAGTATTCTGAGTAGGCAGTAGTAAAATGCTGCGCTGTGGCATAGAAAAGGAAAAATGGTTGTGTTTAGAAGCATTTTGGAGGTTTGACCCCTTGTTAACTGAGGTGGTGGGTCCTGTGACAGAGGCACAGGAGGCAGAAGAGGACGAGCACTGAGAGGAGATTGAGATTGGGGTGGATAAACTGGTCAGTGGGACTGGCGGTGGGCTGTTGGGAATTAGGCTTTCAGACCTTTATAGATACAGGTCTGGGACCGGGAGGTGGGGGTGGGTGTTAGAGCTAAACATGACATCAACACAGAGTTCCCTGATTTTTAGCCATGATATCCTATCATTGTGACGTGGTGAAGAGAAGAAACGTAAAAACACAAAGGTGTCAGGGAAGGACTGTGACCTTGGGAATGTTTGCCCTGGGAAGACAGCTAGAGTCTTGGGTCTGCAGGTGTGGCTTGGTTCACGTCCAGGAAGGAGTCTGACCTTACAGAGATGTGTAGTTAAAAGGGGGAAGGGTACTTTCATAGCATATTTAGATCGTTGGAAATATTCTTTGATACTACACTCAAACTTGATAAGGTTTATGTCTTAATCGATGAAACTTCTAAATCTAAAACTGTATCAATAAATTTTACATGAAGGGGGCTTCAAAACTTGGGAAAATTTCAGTCCTACTCCAGTATAATTTTGTAATAATGGGTATTGATCACCTGGAAACTCTTGGTTCACTGAAATCTACTGATCTTCTAAATGTTAACATTCTTTAATTGTACCATATCATAAATAAATAAATCTGTTAAGATTGCTAATGGCCTTGTTAGAAATCTTTTAAGTGTTGGAAAGCGGTCCAGGTCATGACGGTGGATATAGATTTCCTAAAATTCTTATATTTTTGCTTGAAAGCATACATTTTTATCATTAGCAACAAATTCTGTCAGTTGTTTTCTTGAAGGGATGGGATCATGTCCTTTAAGAAAATCTCTGCCACAGACTCAACTCTTAATTACTGTGGTCTGTTGCCACTGCCTTGATTTGTGCTCAGCTAAGGTAACAACTGCTTTACTGTTTTTGGCCGTATTTATGACTCAACTTTATTCCTTCGCCTGTTCTTTTAATCTATTCATACTGTTTTGTTTTTAGCTTTATGTAGCTAAAAATTTTTTAGCTTTATTTGGCACACAGCTTTACTAAAACATGACGGCATATAAATGCTTTTAATTTGAGGTATGTGGTGGCAAGTGTATGATCTATAACTGTTGTTCATTCTCACTGTAATGGTAATGAAACATTTATTTCTAGATTGGAGACGACAAAACTGTGAAACAGTGGAAAATGGATGGACCAGGCTCTGGAGAAGAGGAAGAGCCACTGCAAACAATATTAGGAAAGGTACAAAATCATGGGCCCGTACACATTAAACTTCTTCTCTTTCACTTAAGATTACTTAAAATAATTGTTTTTAATCCCAGTAAGCAGAGCGAGACACTTTAGACACTAATAATTTTGTTATCTGTGCAGTAGTTTTGAAATTGAGGTCCTTTGCAGCTAAAGCTCTTGGATGTTTATTGTACAGTTGTAGGCTTGAGTCCTGTTTGTAGCTAGAAGATGCCATGAGACTTGTCCTACAGTATTCAGAACTGAGAATTTAACTTGATAGAAAAATCCTCTAGGCAATGAAGAAATGTAATAATGTGATGCATTTGCATTTCTTAAAAATTATTCTACAGATCAGATTATGTGGTCTAGTAATATCTTAAGTATTCATAACATTTGACTTACCCGTGTTTTACAGAGCTTGCATTTTTATATTATTAAGCAAATAAAATACTAAAGTTAGATTTAATTGTCAAACAAAATGCATGCATTTTAAAATCACTTTGTCATCTTGATTAGACTATACTAAAGTTCCCCTCTTTAGATTTCCAGAAGCTGTGTCCAGTTGTTATAGGGACACAGTGGCGTGGGGTACGGGCATGTGATAAAGCTCAATTCACAGATGGCTAATAATCCCTAAAACAAATGCTGTTCCCCAAGGAGTTCCAAAAATATTACGACATATTTAGGCTTAGCCCTACCTCTGTAGTATTGAGGATTCATTTTTATTGTAGGAAATTTGTATTTCTAATAATAGAAAATTATTAGAAATCTGCAGGTGCTGCTAAAGGTTAAAAATTTAGTGCTGTCTAAGTATATCCCTTTAATGCATTACAATTGAGTTTCATCTAGGCTCAAAGCCCTGCAGAGAATTCTGCCTTAAAGGTCGATTCTGATTCCGTGTGTCTGGGTCGGAAGGCAAATAACTCAGCATGAGATCAGACCACTTTGAAACACTGCTTTGTAAAAAACATTTTTTACACTTTAGTACAAAGATCAGCTTTAATATGATCCTGAGCTGATTAATCACACATTCCAAATGAATAATATCAAATTTATGAGGGTGTGTTTTTTGTTGTGTTTTTGCTTTTGTTTTCCACTTTCAGCAATATTAGTATCCATCTGTCCCCCCCAGTCTTGCTCCTTCCTTCAAGTTTTGCTCTGGTTATTTATGTTCAACCCTGGACATACTATTTTATATGTCAAACGTGGAACTAAGTTTTTTAGAAATTATTTTGCACTTCATTCATTAGTGGTTTGCAAATTCCTTTGGTACTCAATATTCAACTCACTTCATTGAAATGTATTGGAACTTAATTAAGACTATCCCACACTAATTTTATTATTCTCAGGATTGGTGGGAAGCTATATCACGCCATATACTGTTATTTTTCCCCTTAGGTAAATGCTTCAAGGAAGTTATTTTGTGAACGGGGATTGTCTTAATAATGATGATGATAATGATTGCTTATAAATACATTAAAACATTTTCTGTAGATTTGCAGTCATAATGAGCAGACCCATCTCTAACACTCTCTGTGCTCTTGAAGACAGTGTATACTGGAATTGACCACCACTGGAAAGAAGCGGTTTTTGCCACATGTGGACAGCAAGTGGACATTTGGGATGAGCAAAGAACCAGTCCGATTTGTTCAATGACCTGGGGATTTGACAGTATAAGTAGTGTTAAATTCAACCCAATTGAGGTACTATTCCTTCTTAAACTACGTTCTATTTATGTAAACATCCTCGGTTAATAATTCCAGCTCTCTTTGGGAAACATGGGTTGTATGATAAGAGAATCTTCTGAATTAATGGTCTGGCATTTGATTAGCTTCTAGATTTTAACAGGGTCCTCATGTCTTTGATCAGATCTTAGCACACTTGCTCACCATCTGGTCCCTGAAAACCATGTTACCCATACAGGTTCTATACGGGGGCTTTAGTTTTACCCATGCATTCAATGCTCATGAATATAATTTTTTAAACTTGTAAGGAGTCAGTGATAACAGCAACCCATGCTTTATGATAATCAAAATTGTACTGCATGCTATAGGTCTATATATACTGCTTACAAGTCTGAGTGGTAGTTCCTAGTTTTCTCTTAGGTCTAAAGCAGCGGTTCTCAACCTGTGGGTCACGACCCCTTTGGAGGGTTGAACAACCCTTTCACAGGGGTCACCTGATTCATAACAGTAGCAAAATTACAGTTATGAAGTAGCAACAAAAATAATTTTATGGTTGGGGGTCACCACAACATGAGGAACTGTATTAAAGGGTCGTGACATTAGGAAGGTTGAGAACCAATGGTCGAAAAGAAGCGTTAGAGATTAGCACCACTGTGTTTCATGTGAAGAAGCCCAGGTGGTGCATTGACCTAAACATTGGGCAATTAACTGCAAGGTCAGTGTTTCCAACCCATGAGCTGCCCTGAAGGAGAACAATGAGGCTGTCTGTTCCTATAAAGGTTTAAAGTCTTAGAAACCCTAAGGAATACTTCTCTGTCCTATAGGGTTGCTATGAGTCAGATTCAGATCACTGGCAGTGGTTTATAGGTTTATTGTCTACGTAGTTCCAAATAAATTTACCATAGGTGGCTGTCCTGAAAGCTAAGCTAGCCTTTGGACTCCAGGCCTTTCCTAACTACGTATTTCTAAATAACGTAGTGATAAGTGAACTTAATGACCAAAGAACTGAGTAGAGACACCTTTTCTTGCAGAAAGAAAAAGAAGTCATTGCCTAAAGAAGGGGGGTTTCAGAAAGTTATGGAAAAATAGAATCCTTCCGTGAACTTTTTGAAGTCCTCTTCTGTAAGCTGATTTTAGAATTTATTAGAAGACTGTTGTGATATAAAGCAAATACCCTGATTTGTGAGAGCTGAACATTCCCACAAGCCAAAGAAAAGTCAAAAGAATCAGGGTATAAGCATTTGTAAGAACCCTAAGTAAGCTGCTTCGGGGTGAAGTGAGTTTGAATCGGAGATGCTGCTGAGAAGTCAGAGGACATAGCTCTCCTCCCAGAACTTACCTCCCAGTGCTCCTTGGACAGGTTGCAGGGCTCAGGCGGAGGCCGGCAGGCTGGTTCGTGAGCCAGGTCTGGCTGGCTGCCTGTTTTCGCAAACAAATTTTGCTGGAACACAGCCATGGCTGTTGGCTTACGTATTGTTTCTAGCTATGTTTGCATTGCATTGGCTGCGTTAAATCATGGAGATAAGAGACCATATGACCACAAAGCCTAAAACTTATTGATTGCCTGTCCCTTTGTAGAAGTTGCTGATCCCCTGGTCTGGAGTGTCCATTTCTTATATGCAGGGGTCTTCCTTACTCCATCTCCTTTCCCCTATGTCTCTCTTGGTTATTTAAAAAAAAAAAAAAAACCCAAGCCTGTGGTCACCGAGTCCATTCCAACTCATAGCGACCCTACACGGGTTTCCAAGGTGGCGAATCTTTAGAAGACAGCATACTCTCAACTTTCACCTGTGGAGCAGCTGGTGGGTTGCTGACCTTGCAGTTGGAAGTCCAGCACTTACTCAATTGCAGGTAAGGGCAAGTCGGCTTTGCAGAGCAGGGACAGGGCTACATATGTAGGTTCCAAACGCAGGTGATTTGGAGGAGCAGTTTTATATCCTCCGAGATGTAGAGCAGAGCTGAATTTGAATTCCCTGCCACCGTGCCTTTGCACTGACTTTGTATGCATCACAGTTTTCCTCTATATTTGTTTCTTTATTTTTAAAATGAGATTAATTTGACCTCTCAGTCTACTTCATAGGTTTGTTGTGAGTGTAAAATGTGATAATATATGTGAACATTTTTAAAAGTGCTATACAAAGTCAAGGTGGTGATGTAATTACTATTTAAAAAAAACACAGAGAAGGAACAAATATTGATTCCTCCTTCACTAAGGGCCAAAGAGCATCTTTTGAGTCTCGGTTTTGATGAGCACCTGTGTCAGAAGAGCTGATGTCCATTTCTAGAACCTTGGTGGATTGATTAGTGGTGACCTAGTGGGCATGTTGTTCACACTGGGCAGTGTAACAACCTATTTGTACAGCTGTGGGTTGTTTTTTTTAATTAACCATAGGAACTGACTTAGTAGTGCATACAAGCGGTATGTATGTCTTTTTTTTTTCTTTTAGTTATTTTATTGGTGGCTCATACAATTCTTAACACAGTCCATACATACGTCCATTGTATCAAGCACACATGTACATTTGTTGCCCTCATTATTCTCAAAACATTTGCCTTCTACTTTAGCCCTTAATATCAGTTGCTCATTTTCCCCCTCCCTCCCCACTCCCCCCTCCCTCATAAACCCTTCGTAATTCATAAATTATAGTTTTGCCATAAGTTACACTGTCCGACGTCTCCCTCCTCCCTCTTCGCTGCTGTCCATCCCCCAGGGAGGAGGCTATACTTAGATTCTTGTACTTGAGTCTCCCCTGTACCCCATATTCCCTTCACCCTCCAGGCATTGGCCCTCTCACCACTGGTCCTGAAGGAGGCATCTATCCTGGATTCCTTGTGTTTCCAATTGCTATCTGTACAATGTACATCCTCTGGTCTAGCCAGATTTGCAAGGCAGAATTGGGATCATGATAGTGGGGGCGAGGAAGCATTTAAGAACTAGAGGAAAGTTATGTGTTTCATTGTTGCTACCCTGCACCCTGATTGGCTCGTTCCTCCCCACAACCCCTCAGCAAGGGCGTGTTCAGTTGCCTACTGATGGACTCTGAGGCTCCACTCTGCACTCACCCACCCACCTTTATAGTGACATGATTTCTCGTTCTTTGATGCCTGACACCCGATCCCTT